TACAAAAAGTACGACACCGTCCATGAGTTGACTTGCTACGCCGTTGAGAGTCCGTGCCGTGCATGAAAGTGACACTCTATGTGCTCTCATTTTTATCAGATATTTTGATGTGCCAAACTGCAGGAAGAACAAACCCACAGGATGTTGTGCTCGGTTACGGAAAACAGGATTATAGAACCTGAGAACCGGAGTAGTGAAAAAATATGAACCTCCTGATGCATGTGTAGTTAGTGGTCGGAACATAGTAAATGATGGAGACCAAAAAAATGGACACGATACTTAATTATCTCATATGTGCCACTTCTAGTAGACAGGCCCGGTACCTCAATGGGTTAAGTGTAGCATCTGTTTCCACCCACATTTTACGGAAGTTGGAAGAGATTCTAAACTTCGACTCGGGGATAGCAAAAGTAGAGATGTGAATAGATTGACCAATCCTCACGCAAACATTAATCCAATGGGGACGATCATTAACGGAAGAGCATTTTCACCATTATGGCGGTGAACACACGCCCAACGAACTCGGGACGAATGATCCTGTGCCGAAAGGAGATGCAAGAAAATAATGGGAAAACAAAACATTTGGTGGACTGAAACGAATGAGCAATCACTGGCAATGAATACAATTAAGTACCTGGCAAACGTGGTAGCTCGACCGACAAAATACGTGTAACCGCCGTTGAACCCGGCCGAAGCGAATTGTTTACAATCAACTGAATCCATGAGCAAACCGATTACGTAAGCATTTTCAGGTTTGCCTCGTACTGTTATGTCACCGGAAGGAGTGAACACCTGAAAGGATAGAAATTGGGGATTTGGCGGTCGAATAGACGATTTTCTCGTTTGTGAGCTGCTAAGAACAAAACCACTAGTTTCAGGGTAATTTATCAGCTGATCAGTTCAACCATACAGGGAAGTTTGTGGTTCGATTCGGTTTTCTTTTTGCACATCAGCAGAATAATAATTATAATAATTAAATGGTTTAATTAGACCGAAAATGTCGTGTTCCAATTGCATTTCATGTGAGACTAATAAATAAGTGTGACTAATCGAAAGTATCACAATCACCGCCAAGTTGTCCGAGAGACAGCATCCGATTGTACAAAGGCAAGAGATGTTGTGAGGTACTACTCACATTTGTGAATAGCACGCAAAAGGATGCGGTTGGTGGTTTCTTTCCACGGTCAAAATTGAACAAGACCTCTTGTGCATCGAATTCCTATGTTCCAAATGATAACTACGAACTGTTCCATTCATTATCCTGTATGGTGCCAGGAATTGTGATATTTTCAAAATGAGACATCCAGTTATATGCACACCAAATTATCTATACCCTAACTATGGTTTGTATTAAACAACTCCCTCAAGCCAGCACTTGCCATCTGGAACTAAAACAGAGGCGCATCGGTATGATCATCTTCGAAAGTAATTTTCAGCTAGGTTCTATCCAACTAGCTTTTGCGGCAAGTCAGCCTGAGGCTGCATGGATGGAGTTAACAGATATTCAGCTGTCTCTTTCCGTGGTTGTCGGGCCAACCGACTCATTGACTGACTACGACTGAAGATTGTATACGAACAAGTATGAATTAACAAATTCGACCAGCCCTGGAGTGTGAGCTTATTAGCACAGTGGTAACAGACATATTTTCCGTGCGATGGATCCGGAGTTCGAATTCCGGACGGGACGGTGAATGTTCATTACGGATGGGAGCGAAACTCGAGTCCAGGGCTTCCCAAGTGCATTACTGACTAGATGAACTGAAAACTATGTGCAAAACATGGAATATGCAGGACAGTCAGTTTAAATCAATGTCAATGCATTAGTCGCAAGTAACTGAGTTAAACATTAGCGAAAAAGCCCAACAGCCGTCAAACATATTTTTAGATTTCTTCCTATGTTTGCTCATCCCTGAAGCCGAATCGGGTGTCACGTAGAAGTCAGTTGAGAGATAAATAAAAGAGAACGGATTTTCAGTGAAACGATACATGTGGGAAAAGCATGGTTTAGCAACAGGAAGTAGTACACGGAGCTTTTCAGCATTTTTTGCAGTGAATGAAAGGGGTCAATGAACAGCTTAAGATGGGAATGTGATCACACGTGCCAGAATACACTGCACTGACATGGTTTGCATGGGATTTGAACCGCTCGCTACACACCGTTTGTTTGTGTGCGCCTACGCTTTCCATTCTGTTCCCAAAATATCATCAGGAAGGAAACAAGGGTGTCAGTCATACCGTTTTCTAGGGGAACACGCCATCTTCCAGGGACAGTTTGTCACCGTTTGACAGCAACTGTCACTCATCTATTTGCTTTATATCATCAAAATCGAGACCAACCAACTGTTTACATAGATTTCGAAGCCATATCTTTATTCGGGTTTTTTGCGCACTGCTTATGAGCAATAACAACGATGAAACTTGTCGGTAGTGATATCAATTGACCAACAAAACCATACTGCGGAAGGACTTATCGGATGATGGATCCCATTCCCCAATCCAAGGATACATCGGCCAGAAACCTCGACCATCGTGTGGGATCGGAATGACGTGTAGACAACCAATCCCTCATAACAAAGAACACGAAAAAAACCCACGGTAGTGAAAACACCACTGTACGTCATTTTTCCACGAAAATCCGTGGATTGCGCCCATGGCACCAACTAGTACTTCAGCAGAAAATAGAAAAATAAAAATAGTTAAGTAACAGAGGCACGTGCACTACGAAATAAAATAGGTTGTACGAATCAGCAACACAGGCACAATGAACGGACTCAATAAAACCGCATGTGTAGGACAGCGGGAGGGCAACAATGCAAACTCACTCTGCTCCATTGTGAAAACGGTATGCTGTAAGAATCGTAGACAAAAAATACCGGTAAGGCTGATGAGGTGGCCCCATTCAGAACGGTTGGACTCAGTTTGTAGTAAGCCGGATGTGTGGTGTAACGTCTCTGATGCGCATAGACCAGATCCGAGCGAACAGACTCGGCCGATCGATTCCGGTACGGTTCAATATGCAAAGCAACCTGAATGTGAGAATTCGGTGTGGTGAGTGGATCAGAGTGATCAGTGAGCTGAAGGTTCATTCTCGATCGAGAACGGAGAACAGTGTGAATAGAAAACGGATGACTACAATGGGAACGAAATGGGTAGTTGGTCTAAACGGAAGTTCACCCTAGATGAGATCCCCTCGAGTCTGTAGGAATCAAGATTCGTGAACCAAACTCACCAAACGTGTGATAACATAATGCACCTACGAAATATCAGTCAACAGTTTGAGAAATCCGACGACAACTTCTACAGCGTCCCGTTACGCCTGAGAATGCTCGATACACATGATCCAAAAATAAAAAACGTCTGTTTATTCCCTTGTTATTTCTTGAATATCCAAATCTAAAGTCAATTTTCAGGTAGAAGGCCACAACCATAAAAAGGCTGTCTAGGAAAGCACAGGAATGGGTAAGATGGGCCGCGATGGAGAGGTTCTAACCCGGGATTTCCGGGTCGCTAAATTGATGAACATAATCACTTGATTACCATATATATATATATATATA